GAATTATTAATTACGTGACGAATAACGGTAGAATTGACATAGCCTGTAAATGTCGCATTGGTGAAATCACAAGTCACTATCCACATTCGTTGGAATACAAAAGTAATGAGAATATCTCCCAAATTATGTGAGCGGCATGTCCATCTCGCGACTTAAATGAGTTTAAATTATCGAATATCGAGGCCTGAAAGGCTTGTGGTTGCTCATACTCGTGTTTATCGATAGAACGACACAGATGACGCTTAACAGCACTTGTGTCGTTCTGTTGGTTTCTCCTATATTTCTCTTCATTTTCATAGCGTCGGCCCGAAGGATCGAACCTCCTAACATTAGAATGTCAGAATTATTGATTACGTGGCAAATAACGGTAGAATTGACATAGATTGTAGATGTCGCGTTGGTGAAATCACAAGTCATCATCTACATTCGTTGGAAAACAAAAGTAATGAGAGTATCTCCCGAATTATGTGAGCAGTATATCCATCTTGCGACTTAAATGAGTTCAAATTATGGAATATCAAGGCCCGGAAGGCTCGTGGCTACTCATACTCGTGTTTATTGACAGAACGATACAAGTGACGTTTGACGGTACCTATGTCGTTCTTTTGGATTTTCCTATATTTCGCTTCATTTTTATCGTATCGACCTCAAGGATCAGACCTCCTAATTTAAGAAAGTCAAAATTACTAATTACGTGACGAATAACGATAGAATTGGCATAGATTGTAGATGTCGCGTTGGTGAAATTACAAGTCACCATCCACATTCGTTGGAAAACAAAAGTAATGGAGTATTTCCAAAATTATGTGAGCGACATGTCCATCTCATGACTTAAATGAGTTCAAATTATCGAATATCGAGGCCCGAAAGGCTCATGGTTGTTCATACTCGTGTTTATCGATAGAACGACACATGTGATGTTTAACAGTATCTGAGTCGTTCTGTTGATTTCTTCTATATTTCATTTCATTTCAACCACGTCGACCTGAAGGATCGAACCTCCTAACATAAGAAAGTTAGAATTATTAATTACGTGACGAATAACGGTAGAATTGACATAGATTGTAGATGTCGCATTGGTGAAATCACAAGTCACCATCCACGTTTGTTGGAAAACAAAAGTAATGAGAGTATCTCCCAAATTATGTGAGCGGCATGTCCATCTCGCAACTTAAATAAGTTCAAATTATGAAATATCAAGGCCCGAAAGGCTCGTGGCTGCTCATACTCGTGTTTATCGACAGAACGACACAAGTGACGTTTGACGGTACCTGTATCATTCTGTTGGATTTTTCTATATTTCGCTTCATTTCCATCGCATCGACCTCAAGGATCGAACCTCTTAACTTAAGAAAATCAGAATTATTAATTACGTGACGAATAACGATAGAATTGACATAGATTGTAGATGTCGCGTTGGTAAAATCACAAGTCATCATCCACATTTGTTGGGAAACAAAAGTAATGAGAGTATTTCCCAATTATGTGAGCAGCATGTCCATCTCGCGACTTAAATGAGTTCAAATTATCGAATATCAGGGCCCGGAAGGCTCGTGGCTACTCATACTCGTGTTTATCGACAGAACGACACATGTAACGTTTAACGGCACTTGTGTCGTTATGTTGGTTTCTCTTATATTTCGCTTCATTTCCATTGCGTCGACCTGAAGGATTGGACCTCATAACTTAAGAAAGTCAGAATTATTAATTACGTGACGAATAACGGTAGAATTGGCATAGATTGTAGATGTTGCATTGGTGAAATCACAAGTCACCATCCACGTTCGTTGGAAAACAAAAGTAATGAGATTATCTCCCAAATTATGCGAGCGACATGTCCATCTCGTGACTTAAATGAGTTCAAATTATCGAATTATGTTTGCAGTTTAATCTTATGCTTCGTAGATTTTTCAGTTTATTTTGTTTATGTGCTTCATATAATTTTACAGTTTATTATATGTATATTGAGAAAAAAATCTGAAGAAAATTAATTAATTTGATAACATCGGGTTTGGTAGTTATCCAACCGGTATTTATTTAGATAATATATGCAAATACGATATTTCAACATTTTGGTGTATGTAAGTGCATAGCCGATATGTTAGTTGCGTATACGATATCGAGCAAATATGTGTAAATCACTCACTGTATATGAAATGAAATAAAAATAGTTTGTGAAAATTATGTGCAAATACCATGAGTTTTCTGCAAATACGGTAGGTAATATATACGGTAAGGTGCAAATACGGTAAGTTGCCTGCAAATACGGTAATCTGTATATACAATAAGTAACCTGCAAATACGGTAAGTGACATAAACGGTATATACATATATAGTATGCTTAAAATTGGTATCTAAACTACACATACGGTGAAAATTTCGGATGAAAACGACATTTGTGCTGTCATGTGTATAAATGTGAGTATAAGTGGTCACGGTCCATTCTTTCCATGAAAAATAATAAGTGGAACTTATTTATATTATAATATGTACATGATACATACAAAAGTTAATAGATATGTTTATTAACTTAATCGACACATATAAGTGTGATAACTTGTATTTTCACCATCTCAATAATATAAAAATTATGTCATTTCAATCGTTTTTTTTTTGTGACTAGTCAATTTTTTTGTGTTATATACGTTAGTGAGTCCATTATTAGAGTCATTTCGTTGAAAAAAAATCAAACTACAATAGATAACGACTGTAGTGTCGTTTTACTTTACAAATAACGGTTGGAGTGATATTCTATATTTCAAATAGCAATTGGAGTGTTATTACATCCAATGGTTACAGATAATACACAAAGCACACTAAATACACAAATAATACCAAATAAATATTATTTAATACTATTTTTAATAATAAAAATATAACAAAGATGAAATTTCTAAAAGCATCTTTCTTCTTTCTTTCAATGTAAATATATGTTATCCAAACCCTTGTTCAAATGTGATTGAAGAGAAGAAATATGTGAATGTAATTTTGAGAACTTAAAATTGAAGAAAATGAACAGGGAAAAAAGATTTTATTTTCAAGAGAAAAAAATAGGATTTTAAGATGAATTTGAAGGAAAAATGACAGGATGAAATGAATAAAATTGAAAGGCATTAAATTAACAATTAAAGGAGAATTTTGTCATTTTACTAACTAAAATATTTTTTATTTTTTATTTGTTTTTATTATTGCTTAAAGGTCATTTCATCAAATACATTGTTTAGTTAGGCCAAATGAACAAATTCCCCATTTTTTTTTTATCTAGGTTCAAAATCGGGGGATTCATTTAAAAGGCTTGATCAAACTAAACATTTGTTCAAAAAGACCAAGAATTAAGACTTTTAGTTGAAAGGCCTAAAGTTATTAAATAGGGAAAATAGAATTTGTAAAAGACTAAAATATCCTTGTATATGAAATGATGATATTGCCCCTTATTTTCATTTCAATTTCCTTTCAACCCTAATCTCCTTCCCTCCCTCCTCTAAGAACGAATCAACCACTATAGATGCTTCCATGTTGATTTTCTTATCATCATCTTTTTCTCTACTTAATAAAATCACAAAATCTACATTCTCATTCCCTTGAACATTCATTTGGTTGAAGTGAATAATAAAGTCTTGCTATATTTTTATTGGGCATTTGGAGAAGAAGAGAGGGTATGGTAAATTTTCGATATTTGAGCCACTTTCTTTCTCCATTGTTTTGAATCATCCGTTCATGTTGTTGTATATGTGTTTGTGGTGTTCATTTCTCAATAATGATTTTGAATTTATTTTATGATTTGATTGGATCTTTAAATGGGTTACTTCCCAATCTTATTCTCATTACCCCTTATTTGTATTCCTTAGTATTAATTGAAGTGAAATGTAAAGTGGTGAAGGATGATTGGCTTTTTTCACATTGTTTTCACGTGAAACGTGTATTTGATTTTTTCAGTACAGAACGACATTCATATTGTTTTATGAAATTGTGAACGACATAGATATCGTCTTCTGAAATCCATGACAACGTACATATCATTATCAATACTGTATGATGTTTGAAATTTGATGAAATTTATATGTTGAGTTACAGGTTATGGACACCATGGACATGGTATGGATATCGGTTTGTCATCCAATTGAATATGAGCAGACAGTTGAAGGTAGATGGAAATAGAAGTATTATGGAAATGGCAAAGGGAAAATAATACATATTCTTGTTGCAAAAACAATTTCTTACATGGAACTATATGATAAAGTTAAGGAGGTATTGAATATCGATACGAGTCTATACAAAAATGGAGATCTCAGTCTTGTCCCGATAATGTCTAAAGCTCCAGCTGCACTAATCATAATTGATTGTGACAACGTAAGATGGTTTATATCTACCTGTACATAAACTTTTCTTTGTGTAAGTATTTTAAATGAAGTTGTTGAGAATCAAGAAGATTTTGGTGATGAAGGATGTTTATTAGTAATAGATGGTGGAGAACAAATTTGAAATATGAACAACGAGGAGGAACAAGATCGAGCAGACAACGATAGTAATGATGACAATGGTGATGGAATACTTGTAGATTGTAATGGTTTTGATGTAAGTGAAGATAGTCCCCGAAGGGTAGATGACGAAGTTAATTCTCTTGTGGCAGATGACAATAATTTTGAGTTACGCACGCATGAACCTTGCAGTAGGGATATATAGTGAATGGTAATGATGTTGAATGTACTCAAATTGTATCTGAAAGTGTAAGTTCACTCTGTTACGAGACATCAATAAAAATTCCGGAACGATTAGATGTGCGAGTCAACCAGTTGTTTCCATCGAAATATGACCTAATATCAAAATTACAGTTGCTAGCTGTGAAGTGCCAGTTTGAGTACAAAGTTAAGAAGTCAAATAAGAGCACTTATACAATTGTTTGTATTGATGAAAATTGCAAGTGGCGCTTACGAGCAACCAAGATCGTAGAAAGTCCCATTTTCGAAGTTTGAAAGTACAATGGTCATCATTCTTGCTCCATGAGTGTTCGTCACAGAGATCATAGGCATGCTTCATATATGATTATTGAAAACCACATCGCTCCTAAGTATGAAGATGTCAACCGAGTTTACAGACCAAGGGACATTATTAATGACATTCGTCGAGAGTTCGGCATAACCGTAAGCTATACTAAAGCGTACATGGCTAAAAATTTTGCTTGTGGACTGATTCATGGGAAACCCCGTGAGAGTTATGCGAAATTGCCAACGTATTGTCATGTTTTGGAGATGCAAAATCCTGGTACACTGACATTTATTCATACTAATGATGATCGGCGCTTCAAGTACCTTTTTATGGTATTGGGACCAACTATACATGGGTTCATAAACTCAATGCGAAAGGTAATTTCTGTAGACGGTGCATTCTTAACATCGAGAATGAAAGGTACTCTACTCGTAGCAACTTCTCAGGATGCAAATTTTCAAATATTTCCACTCGCATGGGGAGTAGTTGATTCGGAGAATGATGAATCCTGGACTTGGTTCGTTCAGAAGTTGCGGTTAATAACAGGTGATACGGATGACCTTGTAATTATATCTGACCGTGCAAAGTGCATCAAAAATGGAGTTAGAAATGTGTTTCGATTTGCTCATCATGGTACTTGCAAAAGAACTTGAAGACAAATTTTCCACGGTGTGATGTTGCAACTTTGTTTAGGGCAGCGTCAGAGGCTTATACTGTAACCGAATTTGAGTCCTACATGGCAGCTCTATGCAGTAAAAAGGAGGGCATCAAAGAGTACGTATTAGAAGAAGATTTTCAATGTTGGGCTAGAGCGCATTTTACCGGGATACGTTACAATATCATGACTACAAATAATGCGGAATCTATAAATGGTTTGTTGAAGAGTGCTCAAGAACTTCCCATAGTTGGTTTACTAGAATATATTCGTGGGATACTACAAAGGTGGTTTTAGGAAAGACATGTTGAAGCAGAAAAATGTGTGACCCAACTCACGCCAGCATTAGAGAAAAAGATGTGCATGACATATAATGAGTCAAATGGGTTGGAGGTAAATTAGGTTTCTCCGGACATTTATCAAGTTGGTGACAATTTAGAACACCACTTTGTGGATTTTTACGAAATGACATATACGTGTAGAAGATTTGATTTGGACAAGTTTTCATGTACGCATGCAATTGCTGCAGCAAGGTTTAAAGGAGACGAGGGCTATAAATTATGTACCCCCTTTTACACTAGTATTTGTTGGAAGCAAGCTTATTCTAAATTCGTATATCCTTTGCCGAACGAGGTCGAATGGCAAATTCCTAAGAATGCGATAGCCAGAGAAGTATTTCCACCATTGGTACGAAGACAGAGTGGACGACCATCAAAAAAGAGGAAAAGGTCGGCCGGAGAGACGCGTGTGGCTCGTAAGTGCAGCAGGTGCAAGAAAACTGATCATGTTTGATCCACTTGCACGGGCCAAGCAGCTAGTAGTGAACATTAATGTTGTAACACTATCCTATTTTGTAACTGTACAACTTCGTACTTATTACATCAACTGAATGAAATCACTTATTAGATTTTGTACTGATTGTGTTATTGAAATGTTTTTTTACCGTTGGAATCAAATTTTAGTATTTTAGGTATTCATGTTCGTATCTTCTCACAGGGAATGCAAACTACGTTCATGTCGTTACAGTAGACATGAATGTCGTTCCAGTTCAAAAATTGTACAGATTAACATAACGAGTTATAAATCGTTTCTGAGACACAAAACGACATTCATATCGTTTCAATGTTAAATAGACACTACTTCTCTGATTTTTCTTAATGACTTAGAACTCGTTATGAATATAAATAACGACTTAAAAGTCGTTTCAGTTAAAATTTATACTAAAACGATTTCTACCACATTTTCGAGACACAAAACGATATTCATATCGTTTAAATGTTAAATACACATTGCTTCTCTGATTTTGCGTAACGACTTAGAACTCGTTATAAGCATAAATAACGACTTAAAAGTCGTTTCCCTTAAAATTGATACTAAAACGATTTCTATCTTGTTTCTGGGAAACAAAACGACATTCATATCGTTTCAATGTTAAATATACCGCTTCTCTGATTTTGCGTAACGACTTAGAACTCGTTATAAACATAAATAACGACTTAAAAGTCGTTTCAGTTAAAATTGAGACTAAAACAATTTCTACCTCATTTTTGGGATACAAAACGACATTCATATCATTTCAATGTTAAATACACTGCTTCTCTGATTTTGCATAACGACTTAGAACTCGTTATGAACATAAATAACGACTTAAAAGTTGTTACACCTAAAAATGACGTTTCGATCCTCCTTGACCGCTCCACATACGTTCGAAATGTGTATGACAATCGAAAGAGCGTATCAAGTGGGCTGGTAGCTCTCGAATGGTCCAAAAGAGCCAACGAAGATACTCTATTTCTATGGAAACAATCTGAGTGTGAAAGACAACTATGAAATAACAAATGTTACCATAGCAACTTCTAAGTCGTTACGCAAAATCAGAGAAGCAGTGTGTATTTAACATTGCAACAATATGCATGTCGTTTTTTTGTCTCAGGAACGAGTTTTAAATTGTTTTTAGTATCAATTTTAATTGAAACGACTTCAGAGTCATTATGTGTGGTCATCACGAGTTCTAAGTCATTATGCAAATAAGGATAGCAGTGTGCATCTTACATTGCAACAACATGACAATGGAAGACAATGGAAAACATGTAGGCTTGTACATGTAAGACTCAACAACCTGACATGGACAATATCTAAACTTTAAAGTTATAGAAGACAATGGAAAATATGTACATTAAAATTGTATTCAAACTCCAAAATAGCTGCTACTCCAAAGCGAAAACAACCAAGTGACTACATAATGTTATAAAAATATAAAAAAAATACGAGCAAAGCACAATCTACGGCTCAAAATCCCAAGCCAACAACTCTGCAGCCAGTTTCTTTCTCCATACTGGTACGTAATCCGGTCGAATTGTATTTACGTCCATATTTGCGTGCAGAAATTCTATGAATTTGATAGCGAATATTTCACAATCGGATCTACAAAAAAGTTGTAAAATTTTTGTATTAATTTTCAACACTCAAGATAATATGGTACTACTAATTATGAAATTAGTCATTCTTACCCGTTCACTTGTTGGAGAACATCTTTTACATTCACAAATTTGAAGTTCTCCGTACTATATTTGCTTTCATTGGTGACATGAGATTTTATTATCAACGGAATAAGCACCTGTAGAGGCAAAAGGTAAGCTTCCAACGCTGCCCGGCAAATGTGACCTTTCAGACTATCAAACATTAAAATGGCCCATTCATCCATGTCGACTTGAACTGCAAACCAATGGTCGCGGGTCCAACAAGGAAGATACAAATATTTACAGTCCCTCCAAGGTTTACCGAGTTCCGGAGTAGCCCCTCTCACATAATTCATTAGACTCTTACTACATTTGAGCTCTTTATTGGACTGTAATTGGCCATATGCATTGACAACAAATTGATAGAAATAAGTGTCCAGTATGCAACAGTCTTGTCGAAACAGATTGGGAAATCTGGAAGCCCTTTCTCGTATCTAATATAGGGCCTCGTTTATAATCTACAAAAATAAACTAATAAATTCAAACCAAGTTCTTTTGTGACATTATCGTAAAATCATTAAAGTTGGATTACTTACACTGTCATTAATCCAACCATCCTCTTTCGAAAGATCCATCAAACTTTTTGCTTGAACATCATAGAAGCGCAAAGGTATAATTTGGCTGTGCATACAACAAAATCAACACGAAGTTATATTTAGGTAATACTGTCATTACTTTCACATGTACTTACAACTATATGTAATAATTTACCACGAAGGTGTAGTTTCCATCCATTTGCAAAAAGCCTCAACCTTGCTAGGATCTACTTCTCGATAAGGATCGTATACATTGATGTCCGACAACTTTCTCCTCTTCGTTGGGTCAGTGTACGGAGAACACAGTAAGCGCACTTTTCTCTTCCGACGATACCCTCGTCCTTTCGATGGATCGGATCCCGCCTCATCGATTTCTACAACGTCCCCTATATGTTGCAAATAACAACAATTAGAAGTGGAAAATCTGTTTCATTTGGATATAAAGATGTAAAACTTAACTTTGAATTCATTTTTACATACCTTGCGTGGATTCATTTGTATCTACATCATGCTTTTCAGGCGTCACAAAATCAGCAATCCCTTTCTCCACGTCGGGATGCTCCTCCTCTAATATTATTTCTTTTCCAACACTCTCCTTGATCATTTTTTTCATTTTCTTGCTCATCTATATCATTCCCAGATCTAGCTTCCTTTTCCAAGTCCTTCCGTCCAACATTTTTGCCTCTAACCTCCTCCTCTAACTTTGGGTCCTCCTCATGAGCTTCTACATTTGTTTCAGCGGCAGGCACATCTCTCACATCATGAAATCCAGGCTCAGTTTCCTACTCCTTCCCTCCTACATTTTTTCCTCTAACCTCCTCCTCTTCCTCTAACTTTGAATCCTCTTCAGGTAGATCTACCTTTCTTTCAGCAGCATGCACATCTGTCACATCATCAAACCCAACCTCCTTTTCCAACCCATCCTTCGGTTCATTTTCTGGTACATAAGTTGTGCTACTAGTGGCACCATCAAATGCACTAGTTGCTGGATGGAACCAACCCGCCACAGCCAATTCAACTAACCTGTCAACCTTTTTCTCCACCGATCAAGTCGAGTCGATATAACTGCTTGTAGCCTTCCCTCAAGTTTTTCAATTTTCGTTCTCAATAAATCCTCTATGTTGATCTCAAAACCACGCTGTGGTGGTTGAGCTGCTCGAGGAGACTCTTCGTGGTATGTATGCTGTGGCTCGACATCTTGCTCAGCCTCGTCTCCTTTGGAATGATGTGAAACACTCTCATCCTCTTCCACGATTGGTTTCAACTCTTTCCAATAGGCCTCTTCGAGTTCAGCTTCGGTGGGAATCAATGTGGAATTAACCTCCAACTGCAAATATTAAAAGGTGCAAGTCATTAGTTATTCATGAAGCTAATTCCACAATTTGTTCCCATTAAACTTAATAAAGACAATTTTACCTCCTTCGAATTCAACACGTTCTCAATGGTAGCAGACGTTAACCTCTTCGGCATTTCCCAAGCGACCATTCTTGGTATTACATCTGGATATTTCATACCAAACTTCATTCCCAAAGTTGGGATCGTTTCAAATGCCCAAATCTATTGCAAAACAAACATTTATATTATCTCACAACACAAATTTATATATATAAAAAAAAATACGAGTCAAGTGTATTATTTGTTCATACCATTATAGCGAGGGGAAAGCCGTGTAATGAATACCGGCAACGTGATTCGCCTCCGACGTTCGAACTTTTCAATTTATCTCCCATCTCACGTTTGAATATACTGATCGTGTATTTAAATGAAAAATTTTCCCATGGATACGTCTCGAACCTATCTAGATCGTCCACCAAGTCTAGCCACCATAAATCAATGAATGTATTCTCCTCCGTGGCCCACAGGACGTACACCAAGATTACGATCAATCCTAACTTATACTTATCGCTCTTTCTTTTCTTGCAAATTACAAATGCATTGTAAGCATCTCCCTTC